TTTTTACTCTTAAAATAAGATATTTAGAAAAAAATGTGCTTGTAATAAGACAATGCAATGCTTTTTTCTTATTTTAAATGTATACTGTCTTGTTCCATTAGCAAACTATCTCACTTACATCCTCCATTCAAGACAAAATGCACTTAATTTAAGAAAAAATTACTTTTTCAGATTTCAATTTTGTGCAGTGCAGCTTTCTCCAGCTTTGGGATGCGTGAAACATCCTTTTAATGTTTAGATGAATTTTGTCATTCACTCTAAGGCCAAAGACTGACAGCCTATTGGGAGTTAGTTTCCTAGTTTATCCACTTTACTCACTTTTCAGTGGGTAAGGGTGTTTCCTTTGTCAGAGCTATGTAAGATGTGAAGCTGAAAAGTGTCAGAAGAAATTTCTGTGGAACAAATCAAGCCAATTAATTCAATGCAATGTAGCCTCAGGTTAATACGTATATAATATATTCCTTTTATTTTACATTATAAGATGCATGTGCTATTTCTAAGATTTTTTAATTGTTATTTAAAAGAATGAGCTCTCCAAAGCCTTTCACTCAAGGTTTTGTAACACAATGAAATGTTAAAATAATTAAAAACAATTTAGTAAAAATGAAAAAAAAAACTTCAGCTTCAATATTTCGTCAGTATTCAGTATTTAAAGCTTAAACTGTTCTCTTATGAAGTCATTCTTTTGTTGATTCTGATGCACATTTGATCTCTAATTTCTACAATGAAAATTCAACAAACAAACTCAACATAAAATAATAAAAAGTTAAAACAGATTATCATTGGGTTTCACCATGGGTATGCTTTTCTTTAAGCATTGTTATATATGTATTAGAAACTCTGCTCATCATGAAAGGGGATTTGCAGGAACAACAAATTATATTTTCATAAGTTTGGTAACAGTTTGGATAGCCATTGTATAAATTATTCCTGAAGCAGGTGCAGGTAGTTGTAGGAAGATGATGTAATTTTTAGCAGAGTGTAAGATGGATTAAAATAGAGACTAGAACTTGAATGAGTTGAAGGTTTGAATAAAAAGACAGAGTGTCTGTGGAGCACAGACAGAGGGTCAGCTGTGTTATGGAAGAATCCTGCAAGTAACAATGAAAAACTAGGGGATTCATAGCAAAAATTAGGGGTTTATTTATAAAACATGGCGTAGTGTTCATGCTTAAAGTTTTCCTACACTAGAATAAAAAACGCAGACTCATAAAATCACCTGCAACAACCTTTCTCGATTACCTCTGCCTTTGCTTACAAGATTTAATTTCATGTTATAACCTCTAAAAGCCCATCTTACAAATGACTTCATGAATGTTAACATGTATTTTAAGAAGCCAGCTGATAAATTATGTTTTATGGCTTATAATGGCAACCACTGAGAAAGGAACAATGAAACCTATTATGCAGATTATGCAAGCCACATACCTGTACCCTAATTTGAATGTTAAGAGCATTTGTCAGAAACCCCTCTTGAAACACTAAACTGTGGTTAATCCTTTAACCGCCTTGTCAACCCCAACCAGTATTCTGCTGTTCAAATGGTCAACCGTTTGGTTTACCAGGCAGTTAAAGGGTTGGCTCTAACAGAATTGACAAAGACTCCTGGATATGTGTCAAAATGTCTTTAAATAACTGAGCAAAAATCCTATTCCAATCTAAGCTTGTTGTGGACAGAAAGTCTAATGGAAGTGCAAAAGGTGACAAGAAAGGATGGACAAACAAAAGAGATCCTTGTTGGCTTAAACAGATGATCAGTCAGAGAAAATTCAAGAATCTCAAGATTCAGAAAGATTCAGCTTTAAAAACCCACTACATTCAGACACATCCAGAAGATGGGCTTCAACTATTGGGTTCCCTGGGTCAACCAACTTCTGTAAATGAGTCAACTTAGGAGGCATCTCAACTGGACCATTGAGAGAAAGGACTGGACTTTTGGCCAGTGGTCCAATGTCCTCTTTTCTGATGAAACTAAGGTATGGCTTTCCTTTGGGCGTTTGGAAGAATACAGGTGAGGAACAGAACCCAAGCTGCATGGGGTCAAGTGTTAAATGTCCACAGTCAATCATGATTTAGGCTGCAATGTCTAGTTGGTAAACTCTGCTTTTGTAATTCCAAATCTTGACAGCAGTCTACCAGAATATTTTAATGGATTTCATGATTCCTTCTACTGAGGAACGGTATGTAGATATGGCACCTGCCCATATCGACAGAAACACCAAAACCTGGTTTGATGCTCATACCATCACACTGCTTTGCTGGCCAACCAACTCACAAGGCATAAATCGCAGAATTAACCTTTGGGGTATTCTAAGGAGAAGATAGTGAGTGGCGACAATAAAGAGGAACTGACAGCAAGCATCAAGGAATTTAGGCCTTCCATAACTCCCAGGGCAAGGCTGATTGCCTTGTTTGCCTCAATGGCATGTCACAATGAGGCATTGATTAAGGCAAAGGGGTTTCCCAACCAAGAATTGAAGATCGACATATCATTTTGAAAGTAAAATATTTTGAATGATTTAATGTGATCCATTTTTTTTGCTTCTTTCTGCAAAAACTGAGATCCATCCCTCCATCCATCCATTTTCTAGCACACTTATCCCAAGTGGGGTTGCCTCGGGTGCTGGTGCCTATCTCCAGCAGTCAATAGGCGAGAGGCGGGGTACACCCTGGACAGGTCGCCAGTCCATCGCAGGGCCAAAAACTGAGATGTAAATGGTAATTTCTTGAAAGTATTCTAATGTTTTGAATCCTTGTTTTCTTGGGTATTTTGATCTGGAAATCCCTGTTATTGAGATAATTTACATTTTGGGCCCAAAACCTATTATCTCCGAAAGTTGGACTTATTGAGCAGAATACAATTCCATTAGATGGAATTTCCTTGAAAAGGGTCTGAAGATCCAAAAGCATTTCTCTAAGGTGTTAAAATCGGCATATTAACCAGTCATCATCATGGGCCAGGAAATCTTGCTAATCCCTAAAAATACATTCCCTCCCAATTCCCTCATTTACAAAGTCCTCCAGCAGTGCCAGTGCATCCATCACGCATCATTATGCACAAGTGTCACAGACATATTCAATGTTTACAGCAATCACTGCGATTGGCTCACACTTTGTTACAATTTATGTATAACATGTAGTACACAGACATTACCATGATGATTATGGGGAAGATGAATGTGATGGTGGGAAAATGTTGAAATAAAGATAAGTTTGCTTATAGGGCTATTATTTAGGTCCTTATGTATAGTTATGACTGACCAGTGCAAGCATAAAAAAACAGCCCTTTTGAACACTTATGATAAAGTCACTCTATGATTAAAGTGTGATATGGAGTATAATTAAAAGTCTGATAAGAATCAAGACACAATTTCCCATTTCCTTCTCTGTGCTACCATTTCCCCCACCTCCAAAAAGAGCACACATGGATTAGACTTTGTGTGAGGGGTCGCACATCCATCCATCCATCCATCCATCCATCCATCCATCCATCCATCCATCCATCCATCCATCCGTCCATCCGTCCGTCCATCCATCTTCTTCCGCTTATCCAAGGTCGGGATCCCAACTCTGATCCGTTCCTCACCTGCTCTATCACACTACCACACACATAGGATCTTGGGGAAGATCATTACCAGGGTTTAGTCCTCCTGTGCTGGTGGCCTATACCACAGTTTAAATCTACTCCCTGGCCAATATTATTTCCAAGGCAGACATATGTGGGGCATCAGGGTGGGCATGTTAGAGGCAGTTGAGATGGGTTGGCCTTATTGGCTTTGCTTCCAATGCTCACAGCCACATGCCTTTGTTGGAATGTATTTAGACACTAAAGGCTGATACTGAGAAACCAGGTCGTCTGCCTGTTTGTTGCAGCAAATGCAAATGTGCTCGCTGCAAGTGCCCAGTGGGACCTCAGCAGTATGGACTCTAGGTTCACGCACCTCAAGAATTGGGCCCCTTTGGGGTTATCTTTGTGGGGTTGGGCTCAAGGTGCTCTTGTCTACCCTTCTCTGGTGGATGCGGCCATCCCTATGTCTGCCCTCCTTGTGCCCCAGTGATCTGGAGTTCCTTTGGATATCTGGGGCTTGCATCGCCTCTTTTTCTATCCTGGGCCCTGTAGGGCAACTCTGGGGCTGCCCACACCTGCTATTGAGCATATTTTCCTTCTGAAGAAATTTTGTAAATCCTTTTTAATTGTGCATACCCATGCATAAATACCATGGGTGTTTGGTCCCAGTTTTTTAAGGATACACACTACCGTAATCTTAAATATTAAGCTGCAGCTACAGATACATACCACCATGAATTATAATGACACATGGATATCAAAGGGATACTAGCTGCTCTGGAAGCTTTTCTTATGTGTTCCTTGGTTGCCTGTTGACTTCTTCTTGCTCTTGTTATGTTATCCGTTTTCTGTCCGTCTTTTCATGCACTCTTTCCTGTCTCTATCTCTTTCTCCTTAAATTTTAACCCCTCTTTCTTTCTCACCTTCCTTTCTGTCTCCATGTCTGTTGTATTTGATTTTACACCCTAAATCATTTTAGATGAAGTTTCATACAGAATTACCATGCAACACCTTATGGCAACAGTCATGACGGTCTGCTTGTGAAAGCAAATCTGTGGTGCTCTCATCTAGTTCTGGGACATCTCTTCCCAGAGCTGTATTAGCAAAACAGAAACAGTCAATGTAGCAGGATGTTTTTAAACACAAACACCCAAACAGCCAAAACCCAGGAGATTTGTACCAGACAAGGTCTTGGCAAATTGGAAAGCTTCCTGTAGGTGTGATTGCTAAAAATGAGAACCATATATATTACATATAGATATGTTCCTTGCACCTTATCTAACTCTAGATTTTAATGTAAAAAAAAAAACAGAAAGGGGACAGACTTGCTGAAAGTTATATTATCTTGTCTTGACCAAAGCGCTTTTCTATTTTGACCAACAAATACTATTTTTTCTGAATTAGCTTGGGATGAAAGTCCGGTATTTCTTACGACATGTGGGTGCTGGTGGAGGTGAGGCTGCAGCTGAACTCATGCTGTTAACCGGTGCTGAACTTGTCCCCAGTGAAGCATGTGATGAATTATAAGTGACAGAACTTGTGTTAGTCAGAGCTGCAGTCACACTGGCCTCAGAAGAGCTGAAGCTTCCCATGGTGCCATTCCCTGAAGGATGCAGTGTGCTGGAAAAGGTTGCGTTCACAGGTGGGGGCTCAGTGGAGGTCTGCACCACGGTGTCCCCTAGAGGCAAAAAAACAAAACAAAACAAAGACATGTTAAATGAAATGTTCTGAGCAAAACTTTATGTGGGAATTAATGGGATTTTTTGTTTTGCTTTCTGTTTAAAATTTGAATTGCCACAAACAAAAAATGCCAAAACTGTCATGTTTGTTCAAGTATGGGATTTGGGCCTTTCCCATCTGAGGGAAGTAGTTTATAACCTGTTGTTAAATTATGCATATTTTTTATATTTTTTGTCACAGAATGTACTTTCATGTGACCTTATTAGTTTTGCAATTTGAAAAATACCATTTGTCTTTGTTATTTCTTTCACTGGTGCTTTCCCCTCCCTCTGTCCGTCCCTCATTTATTTGCATAATATCTGTCTGCAGTGGTGCAAAAGTACTTGTATCCCTTGACCTTTATACATTTTATTAAGACACTACCACAAATGCAATTTTAACTCATATTTAAATTGTAATTAAGATGAAACCAACAAAAGGTAGCACATACGTTTGAAATTAAAGTAAAATAATGTTCTGATGCTATAAACTTATAAATTTTTGCTAATTAAACTAAGTAGGGAGTCAATACTTTATAGCTTTCTCTGCTGTTACAGCTGCAGGTCTTTTAAGGTGTCTGTCTACCAGCCTTGCACGATTTCAGGAACATTGTATCCAATTTAACTTTGAAACAATCAGTCAGACTAGATGGAGACTATAAAGATAGATTTTTTATTCTTAACTCAGATTTTTTTTATTAAATTCAGATCTGGACTTTGACTTGGCCATTCTAACACGGGAACATGCCCTCATGCAAACCCCTCTTCTGCAGCTCTGTATGTATGTTTGAGATTGTTGTCTTGATGGAAAGTAAAACTTTTCTCTAGTCATAAAAGTAAAAATAAGCATTTCTTCTGCATGGTGCTGCCATCACTGCAGGGAGAGAGGGTTCAGTTTGATGTAAACTTTAGATTAATGGTTAATATTGTATTTTTCATTAGAGCCAAACTGTAAGATTTTGGTCTCATCTGTCAGGTTGTTTCTTCAACACTTATGCACCAGTTTCTCTTTACTGCATTGTATAAAATTCAGTTAAATACACTATAGTTTGAGAATCTGACAGGAAAAAAGTTGAAGTTCAAGGGTTACATTTTTTGTTTATTTTCCCTAACTGCACTCTATGAGACATGTAAATTAGTAAGTTTTAATGTATTTAAAACGAGGGGACCGGAGGGTGTGTTCCAACTACAGAAGAATCACACTCTTAAGCCTCCCTGGTAACGTCTATTCTGGGGTTCTGGAAAGGAGGGTCCGTCGGATAGTTGAATCTCAGATTCAGGAGGAGCAGTGTGGTTTTCATCCTAACCATGCAACACTGGATCAGCTCTACATCGTCTGCAGGATCCTGGAGGGTGAGTTTCTCAACAAGTCTACATGTGTTTTGTGGATCTGGAGACGGCATTCGACTGTGTCCTGCGGGGGGTACTCCAGGCCCTTTAATAAAGGCTGTTAGGTCTCTGTACGGCCGGTGTCAGAGCCTGGTCCGCATTGCTGGCAGTAAGGCGGTTTCTGGTTAGAGTTGGACTCCGCAAAGGTTGCCCTTTGTCACTAACTCTGCTCATAACTTTTTTGGACAGAATTTCTAGGCACAGCCAGGTTATTGAGGGGATCTGTTTTGGTGGCCTTTGGATTGCGTCTCTGTTATTCGTGGATGACGTTGTTCTGTTGGCTTCATCAAAGCATGATCTATAGCTCTCAATGGAGCCGTTCGAAGCCGAGTGTGAAGCGGCTGGGATGAGGATCAGAGTCCCCAAATCTGAGACTATGGTGTTGCGCCAGAAAAGGGTAGAGTGCTTTTTTCGGGTTGGGGAGGATGTACTGCCCCTTATAGAGGAGTTTAAGTATCTTGGGGTCTTGTTCCCGAATGAGGCATCTAGTAGGAAGCAGGCCCTGAACCGGTTTGTTGTTGTGAAGAAAGAGCTGAGCCAAATGTCAAAGCTCTCGATTTACCGGACGATCAATGTTCCATCATTTATAGCCATGAGCTTTGGGCCATGACCGAAAGAATGAGATCCCGGATACAAGCGGCTGAAATGAGTTTTCTCCATAGTGTGTCTAGGCTCTCGCTTAGAGATAGGGTGAGGAGCTTGGTCACCTTCACCAGGAAGGTGAAGAAGGTGAGAGCAGAACAAACACCAAAGGCTGCAGACATACGCTGAACCTATTTAGAAACTTATGAAAGCACTGAAGGAATTTGTTAAGGGTGCGCCTAATGCCAAGAAACAATTAATTAACATTTGGTAATGATCAAGATCATGTGCAAGGTTTAGCCATCGGTCTAAGTCAAAATATGAGGCAAAATGTGCTGCTTGTCTTTGCACTTTGGCCTAAATCCTATGCATGTTGCATGAGAAATATTATCCTGGCAACAAATTCTCCCTCCTGAACTGTGGACCTCAACAGCTTGGCTGCCTCTCTGATTAACGCTCTCCTGGTCCAGTCTGTCTATTAACCAGGATGCCAATGTCTTCATAGGTTTTCAGATGTTGCACACACCTTCCACCCTCCCATGATTGGCTGAATCGACCCCCATGAGATTTTCAAAGCTCCAAAAGTGTCCCCAACATTCTGTCCAACTTGTCTGCTGTGTTCCTTAGTCTTCACCAAGCTGTTTGTTCTCTAACGAACCTCACACCCTTCACAGAACAGCTGCATACAGACTCAGATTACATTAGCATACAGGTGGACTCTGTTTACTAATTAGGAAACCTCTCACAGAGCAATATGACAGAATACAAATGCACGCTGCACCTGTCAGAGGCATTTTTGCAAGTAAAATTTCCCTTTTCAGTTATTATCATGGCCAACATTTTATTGGTCTATCACATTAAATCTCATCAGACTATATCAGGTCAAAGGACAAAATACTAAAATAATTGTAAAGGGGAATTAATGGATTTTTAAAGCACCTTTAGAGACAGATAAAAAACAAAAAACAAATGTTCCCTCTGATCTTCTTAAGCTTAAATCTCTTTACTTATATTTTATTTATTATAAAAAATAGTTTTATATATAAGTAGCAATCACCCGCTATGATGACCTCAGTTTTTCTAATTCTTAGTATTTTCTCTATCGGTGTAGAATATGATTTATCTCTCCTTATCCACCTCATTGCTATAAAAAGCGTTGCTAACAGGCTATCCCGCAGGTTTCAGATGTTTTCCTGTTTCGACATGTTCCTTTATAAGGAATCTGTTATCTCCACTGGATTAGTCATCAGACTCTAACAAGGTCTGTCACCTGCAGAAAATTAGTTTCGTTTTTTGACAAATGTTTATGTCGCCTCAAGTCTTTCTTTATTTTTCATCTCTTATCTTTTAATTCTATTATCTAGAATCTGTTTCATCTACATTGAAATATCTATATTCTATACCTTTTTGCCCTCCTGTCACCTGGACTATAGCCCCACTCTGGGCTCTGACACATTTATCTACATCAGGTACTTTCAAAAACCAAGAGAAAGTGAAACGTTTTGAGTAATAACCATTAGTGTCAAACAGAAACTTTGGAATTAATCTTTTTCTGAGTACCAATGAAATATCTCCAGTACTGTTTGGGACTTTCCTGTGTCTGATGCTGGAAAGCCCCCCTTATACAATAACAACAACTCAGTGCAGAAGACATCTTAAGGCCCATTACAGAAAAAAAATATAAGCTCAAGTTAAAGAAACATCAGTTTTATATTTGTCCAACCAGAGTAGATTATTACAGAGGATATTCGTCCATAGAGTTGCAATTATTAGATACAGTCTAGGATGCCTGTTGTCCTGTAGAAAGTATTCAATCCACCAAATCGTTAGAACTTGGAAAGTAAAATAAAAGTCTGATTTCCATTTATATTCAGCCTCCCTGAGACTAAATCCACAGTATATAAAGTTGCAGAAGCAGCTCCTGCCACTGTTACAACTGCAAGCATTTAAATACAGTTTATCCCTACTAGCTCTGCACATCAAGACACCGAACCTCCACCAATTAGAATTTTTAAAATCAGGGAAAAGCTGATGTAGTTCTTCCTGGAAGGACTGCTGTACAATCATAGATATTTAGTACCTTTAGAGAAATATTTAATAAATATTTAGTTCTGCTAGATGGGAGATTCTCTGTAGTGTGTCTGGGCTCTCCCTTAGAGATAGGGTGAGGAGCTCAGTCATCCGGGGAGGACTCAGAGTAGAGCCGCTGCTCCTCCACATCGAGAGGATCCAAGTGAGGTGGCTCGGGCACCTGGTTAGGATGCCTCCTGAAGGTCTCCCTGGTAAGGTGTTCTGGGCACACCCCATGGGGAGGAGACCCAGAGGGAGACCCAGGACACGCTGGAGGCAATATGTTTCTCGGCTGGTGCGCCTTGGGATTGCCCCAGAGAAGCTGGCCCAAGTGGCTGGGGAGAGGGACATCTGGGCATCCCTACGTAAGCTGCTACCCCCGCAAACCGACCCCGGATAAGCAGAAGAGGATGGATGGATGGATGGATGGATG